TGACAATGTTGTCTACTAAGACGACGAGAGCTTCGCAGCTAAACCATCCATAACTCACAGAGCACTACTATACGAAAAAGAATGAGAGCTATTCAGATGGAGTTTCGAATAGTGATATTATGAACAATAACTTGTCTTCTAACCTTTGCCATACATTAAGTCATACTGTTTCACCCTGTGTCACATATCTAATAAGCGATTTCATTTGGGGTGATGTAACATCGAATATCTGTCTACTTATATCGTACCTGACAAGAACGACATAGTTTTTGTGCTTATTACTCGGTACGGTAATCTGGAATTGGGACTACTCACTCACCCGCTTACTCACTGATGTGTTGATTTTGTCATTTCATGTGGGAGGGGGTGTTGTTCTTTTGTTTTTCACTTCACGTTCCCAGTGGAATATAGGGCTTCAAACTGAAGGCTCGGAGTTTCTGTGGCAGTGTTTATTTTTACAGGATGGGGTTGCTAGCCTCATGCCCAACCTTTCCTCTTTACCAGCTTTTATTTCTCGCTCAGCGAGGTAAAGGAGTGCGTCGGTTGGGGATCGAACCCCGGACCATATGCGTGGTCGGCGAGCGTCCTAACCAATGTGCCACCGACTCACGTAGCAAGGCGCATCTGCAACCTTGAAGGAACTCATGTCCTTTCTGAGATTCGAACCTGCGTCACCCAGTGCTGCAGTCAGAGACGTTACCACTGAGCTATTGGGGCTAGGCGGTGGGTGTTGCAACCAGGTCAAATTCTGTTTTAGTTCATCATTCCTATTTAGCTCAGACAATTTGGATTCCATTTTAGATGAAGTGCTTCCGATGATATTAGACTCTCCTTGTGATTTCTGAAATTTTTATTAGAACTCTAGCTAATTCTATCAACTTGTTTGTATCTTAAGTAATTCTATAGAGTTATCCTATTCCTCTTAGTCATCATTGCTATTTTACAAATTTCTTTATGATGTAATACCTTGTTGCTAACGCCAAAAAGTTAACTTATCTTAAATTCCGTTATTAATTTCCACCTCTCTTTGATAACTTAGATATCTTGTTATTAACATCTATTAGTTAACTGTTTTGATAACTTTTCACCTCTTAATTCCACTCCACCCACTTCCCATTCTCCTAAACCTGAAACTGTTTGAGTAAAATAACCACTTGATTGGTAAAACATTTAGGTATATATATATTAGTGTAGAGACGATGATGAGGAACTAACTAAAAAGAAAGGCATATTTCTTCCTTCAATTCATCGTTCTTCCTAGATATTTTCCGTACCGACAAACAGCGGGAAATGAGGAAACAGGCATAAAATGGACTCACACAAATACCTTGGAGGATCTGGACTTCGCCGATGATACCTGTCTGATTTCCCACAAACTGGAAGACATGCAAGCGAAAAGCAACAAGTTAGCAGAAGAAGCATCAAAGATAGGACTTCACGTGAACATAGAGAAAACAGAGGTGATGAAAATTCCTGGGCAACACCACCAACAGCAACAACAACAACAGACAACAATCAGCATAAATGGGAGGAACCTGAAAGAGACAACCTCCTTTACCCACCTACCTGGGAAGCATCGTTTCAACTACAGGTGGACGGAACTGACGAGGATATCAAAACGAAGATCGGGAATGCAAGGTGAGCTTTCACTACTCTCAAGTCTGTGTGGAGGTCAACAGCACTCAGCATGAAAATGAAAATATTATCCGAATTTTCAACTCCAGTATGAAGTCAGTGCTACTCACTATACGGATCAGGGACTTGGCGCGTCATAAAGAGCATCTCAAACAAACTACAGACCCTCATTAACAGTTGTCTTCGCTCAATACTCAAGATCAGATGGCCGGCCAGAAAAGATCAGCAATAGAGATCTCTGGGAGCGAACGAACCAGGAACCGATTGTGAAACAAATAGGCAGGAGGAAATGGAGATGGATTGGCCACCATACTCTGAGGAAACCATCAAGTGACATCACTAGACAAGCCCTTGAGTGGAACCCGAAGCGGCAAGTTGGTCGTCAGTGCGAGGGTGACATGGAGGAGGAGGTCATGTGAAGAGGAGATGAAAACCTGTGGGCAGACATGGAGCCAGATGAAGACTCTAGCAGAGAACCGAACGCAATGGAGACACACGGCTGAAGCCCTATGTTCCTCTAGGAATTAAAGGAAACTATAATAATAAATAATAACTGGAAGATAAACTTATTGTGTAAGCAATCTATCACTCACACTGAAAGATATACAGTGAGACACCAGGTCGCATCCCCAGTACTAAAGCCAGCAATTCACGTTTATATCCATAGTCAGGGAGGGTATAATATTAATTTTAATTCAGGAACTAAGTGATTACGAGTCACATGCTGAAGAAAACACATTCCATCTCGATGACACACCAGTTAGTTACAGGATTTTATCCTGGGCTGACACATCGTTTAGAGAACCATGTGAAAATGAACTAGGGGTACTGGACAAATGTTTCGTTCTAGTGCTTGGAACTCTTCAGCATTAATCACGCTCATGGTAAAAATCCTCTAAATAATCAAATCCCTAAAACCAGCACTTCAATATATCAGTTGGATGAGCCTTAAAAACTTCACTACTACTTTTTTTAATCCTTTACGTTCCCACTGGAACATAGGGTAGCTTCAAGCTAGAGGCCTGATGTTTCAGTAGCAGTGATGTTTATTGTTTACTGGATGGAGCGTTGCCAGCCTCATGCCCAACCTTCCCTCTTTACCAGAGTATTATTAATAGTTTAGCGAGGTAAAGGTGTGCATCCAGTCAAGAAGTGATTTTTCCGCCCTAGCACTCAGTGCTATTCTTACACCTGCGAGTCCTTGTGAGCAGGCTGAGGGGTCTCTTGACACTTTTAAAGTGAATTTTGCAGATTTACCTTGTTGACCGAGTGAGGTCAAGTGAATGACCACACTCTTGTGCGTGTGTGTGCATGTTTCCAAAACACAGAGTTCTTGCTAGTGATGCCTGTTGTCCGATTTGGCAGAGGGTCCTTACATTAAAAGCTCCTATATGAAGTTGGCGAGGTGGCTTTAAAAGGCTATCTGGGGTGTTTCTATGGCTTTCATCGTTGTTTGTGGTCTCAGAGTGAAGTGAAGATGACTCACTAGCTCGAAGAATAGTGCTAACTATAGTAGAGAAGCAAGATGAAGAAGGTGATGTGAGTGAGAGAGAGTAATACTCAGGTAGGCTAAGTGTGCTTTTGGAAGTGTGTGGTCGGTTGTTACTTCCCGGCTGCCCACACTGTGGAAGTTGACTGATTCTTCGGGAACCTGAAACAGAAAGAGTATTGCGTGACCGCAGATCCCAGGGGACAACTGCCTGAGGCCGGTCACACGCGGCCTGTTTTTGTTTGTTTTTTCTTGTTTGGTGTGTCTCAGTAGCATATTTATCACTTCTGCCCTGTGACACGGCAGCAGGAAGCGCAGTCGTTGTTAATCCGGGCCCCGACCGATCCGGCATGATATTTTGTGAATTTGTTTGAATCATAGTGTAGGATTGGGTAGCTACTTTTTGTATAACCGCTATCCAAACAATCTTCCTGGCATGGTGGGACCTGCAGGAACATAAGTTCCAGCCAGTGTAGCTCGTTGGGTCATTGAGATATGCAAGCCCGATCCCCACGTCAAGGTAGCGGCTATCGGTCGGGAAGGTGTGCGTAGGTGATCGGGAATCACAACCCGGACCAAATGAGGTGTGGTCGGCGAGCATTCTACCGTTGTGCCACCTCACTGGTATAAAAAAATGCAGAAAAAGCCAATGATAAATTATAATTATCTTATGTAATGACATAATTATTTACAACAACAAAATTCAAAAGATAAGCAAATGAATACACGTTTAGGGAACACTCCCCTGTCGCCTGCCTCCATTTCTGTTTCAAAAATGACACGAAACTGCAAATTATATGTTATTAAACTCCTCACTGGTAAATTAATACACCTCATAATAATAATGATAATAATAATAATAGTAACAATAATATTAACAGGATTTATAAGGAATAATCATCAAAATTCCGAAGAGACCGGAAATTCAAAAATCACTCAATAAATCAATAATGTGTGAATGAAGAGTAATTTGATGAAATTGTGAACCAAAAATCAAATTCAGGAGAAATGAAACAATCAAACACACTGAACGGTTTGCGCGTGTGTGGTGTGTGTTTATGCGAAATCAAAAACAAAAGTAAATAGACACAGTAAGATAGAAATGCTCTCTTGTCCAATTTTTTCTGATCTGTTCAATATTCAAATTTGTTTTAATTATTCCTATCTGTGTATATGTGCATAGTGATCACCTTGAACATTGAATTTCGAACTTTACTTTACTTAGATTTTAATTCTCTTGAGGCGCTGTAGGAAAATGCACACATTTTGGGTTATTTTCCTTCAGTAATATAGTGTAGCAGTTTTTTCACTAAATATTACATAACTCTTAATAAGTATAATCATATGGAGGAACTTCGAGTAAAGTTGACTCAGCTTGTGGTTCAATCTTAGGCCGATCAATAGTACACCATTGCTCTGTATGATTTGTTAAACTTTTATATTTTTCTTCCACAGTCTGATGCGTGGAGATCTCAGTGTTTGGATATCGAACTGTATCTTTCGACAACCAATCAGAATTCATCTCGTTTGGTAGATTCACAGCAGTGCTGGACCATTTAGTCTCAACTGAATTCGAATGGTTTAACGTGATTGGTGGATGAGGTGAAGTTGAACAGGTTTCATCGCTGTGTCCTTTAGGTTTTACAGGACTTGATGATGACCATGATGATGTGTGTGATGAATAGGCTTCTTCATGATTCAATGTATTATTCGTATTAGTGATACCTTCAGAAAGACTTTGTCTAACATCTGAATAAGGTGATGATTTTGACGATTGAGTAGCACCACCACAGTGGGAATTTGAGTTGGAGGACAGGTTACAAGTTAAACGATGACTAGATTGGTCCGTTAACATGTGATTTGGGACAGACGGTGGCGGCACGTTATCCTCAGGTTGCACAAATGTATTTGATTGATTCGCGTCTGTTAATGTATTCATTTGAAGTGTACTGTCTGAATATGATTCATGCTTCAAATTCACTGACGGGAAAAATCTATTTTCATACGATGGGTTATTAAGTTCAGAGGTCTTTTGTATATCAACAGATTCATTAATGAAATCTTCTTTTCGACGATTTATTGACGGCAGTTGATGAGGATTTGTTTGAAGAGAGTGTTGACTACGCGGAAGATTATTATTATGATTATTATTGTACTCGATCTGATCTGAATTGTCAACATGTGAAGATAATTTTGATGAATCATAATTCAGGGAATTAGCATCTTCATCATAATCACTTTCCTGAAAGAAGAAATCAATAAATATTGACTGATATCATCGTAAAAATGAACACTATTCATAAGATGGAAAATGGGCGTAAGTAAGCCAAAAAAAGAGATAATTAATGTACAAATTGTCAGTTCTATTTATGGTCTAACGGGTTCAACCAAGTAACTAGCTAGAAATTGGACAGTTTGATGGATTCGGACATCTCTGTCAGCTGGGTCGAACTGGGTACACTGTTGATGAGCTCAGCCGATCCCAGACGAGTGAAACTGCTTGCCGTCAGGCATTTAAATCACCTTGATCACGGAAGGAATTTGCCTATTCTTCTCTGTAATAGAAAAGACCACTCATTGGTTGAAGACTTCATGAAAACAGGTGACCGGTGTGCATTCTTTGCATCAAAGCATTAGTAAGCATATGGACATGGAACGTCTACATCGCATTTGAAGAAGAAGAATTGAGAAGATGAGCTAAAGGAGTGTTAGGAATGTGTGAGAGGAGGTAGAGTGGAAATGGACTCTCCAAACTGTTAACTGTAATGTATTCCTACAAATTAAGCAGGCCAAGAGAAGAAGGAAGACTTCTACAAGGCAGGTGGAGACTGGGAGCAGAGAAAATAGGGACAGATCTCATCATGAGTTTTTGTGTACTCGATGAAATAAAATGAGAACGGAGAACTATTTGCAGACTTATTCAATTCAGGACAATTTTGAATATTAAACTCTCCAGAGAATAGAAAAAACTTTCTCATTCATCAAACCTTATTTTTAACTTTACATCTGGAAATCATAAATTCTGAATGGCTTCGAATTAGTTGACATTCCTCATTGGAATGTCTCTTCATCTTGAAGTAACTTGATGGAATCCAGGACAACATGCATTTCGTCCTATTTGGGACTACTCGTCTTCTAGATTTACCCACATTCTGCTCCAACGGTAACACTACCACTTACTTGGGAATGCAGGTACATCCAGATGACGAGCAGTCGCAAATAGGACAAAATGCTCCTTGTCCTGGATTCTACTACTTTCTGTAACCATACGCCAAATCCCATCAGTTTAAATTCCCAGACATCGTCGAAGTATCCGCATAAGCAGCTAACATATCAACGTGAAGCCAAACATTTTGATCCAATCAATTAGCGGGAAAGTCCAAATTGATTGAATTAAGTCTTTGAAAAGACTCCCTAATTATTCCATCTAATTAAATGAAACCACACTGACCGCAAACCTATTTTTCAATTTTGCTGTTTATTTTATTGTATGGAAGATTTCATCATGAGCTGACATCAGTTAGAGAACCATTGGAAAACCTGCCAGGGAGTAATGGACAGCTGTTTCGTCCTAGTTTGGGACACTTCAGCAATACGCATCCACCAGGGTTCGAACCCAGGACCTTCTGGTTACAAGGCGAGCTCGTAGAACATTAGGCCACCGGGACCCGATCCAGTGGCCAGCTCATGAATTCTAACTTCTGCAAATACACGACATAGCGCGACCATTTCGCAATGTCTTCTTCGATGAGATACTGCCTCATTTTCAACCTGCTGTACCCTACTGGTCACGGCTTCCCACTAGAATGCAAGGTTAATAGCCTGAATAGGGCCAGTCGCTAGTGAGCATCAGATTAATTTTCAAGTATTGGTTTTGTAGGGATTTTATTTGATTGGATGGAGGATTTCATCATGAGCTGACATCAGTTAGAGAACCACTGGAAAAATATGCATGCAACATCAAAAAAATTATTACCGGTTAATTCTGAGCCACTGTGGTGGGGGATAGGGTTGCAGGCCACACACAAAAACTTACCATTTGATCTTCATCTCCTGTACCATTAGTTGTACTATTGAGGAAAGCTGTTGGATCTTGACCTTGACGAAGAATTTTCTTCAACTTTGAACGTTTATTTTGAAACCATATTTTCACCTTGAATGAAAAAACACGGGGTGGAGGATGAAAGAAAAGAACTCTGTTAGTAGTTTCTAAAATATTCTAGTGTACGCGAATAAATATATCATTTGGGTCAATTCGTGCGTCAGTGTCGTAGCGGTTAGAACGCTCGCCGACCATGCACATGGTCGTGGGTTTGATCCCCAGCCGGCACACTCATTTACCTCGCTAAGCCAAAAATAATGTTGGTGAAGAGGGAAGGTTGGGCATGAGGCTAGCAACCCCATCCTGTAAAAAATAAACACCGCTACAGAAACTTCAAACCACTAGCTTGAAGCCAACCTACATTCCACTGCGGAATGTGAAGGGAAAAAATGAGTCAACTCAGATGGCAAATCTTTCCTAGTTTTTATTATTATTATAGTATTATGATTCCCTTGAGTTCTAAGTGGAACATAGGGCTTTCAACAAGACATTTCCACTTTTTTCTATTCTCTACTGTCCTCTTCAACTGGCTAGTTCCACGATTGTCCATAATCTCTCATCTCCTCATTGCCACATGATTTCCTTCCTGTCACCCTCACACCGGTGACTCACTCTTCGCTTCCGATTGGGATTCCACTCGAGTGATGGCCAGCATTGGGCGCAATATCACTCGGCGGCCTCCTTAATGTTTACCCGATCCATCTCCACTTTCTCCTACATATTTGTTAAGCGATAGGCTTTTTGTTGGTTTGTCGTCTGCCAGAGTTTCTTGTTTCTTATTCTTTCTGGCCATTTGATCTTCAGTATGGAGCCAAAGAAGGCAGCTGTTGATGAAAGTCTGCAACAGGCTGTTGGAAATCCTTTTCGTAACACACAGTGCAAGTTTCTGACCAGCATAGAAGGACCAACTTCACATTGGTGTTGAAAACGCGAATCTTGTTCTTGATGTTGTGGAGTACAGAAGATTTCCAAACTGATCACAGAGTGATTTAGGTGTATCTTGTCTTTCCAATTCTGTCTTTGACACCTTCATTCGTTTTGAACTCCTGTGGTTGAAAAGATGCTTCCTAGATAAGTGAATGAGGTAACCTCTGTCAAATTTCTCCAGTTGATGCTGATTGGAACTGTTTGTCATTGTTGTTGTTGCTGTTGATTGGTTATCTTCATCACCTCCGTCTTCTCTATGTTCACTTGGAGTCCTGTCTTCGCTGCCAGCCAGCTTCTTCAGCCAGTTTGTTGGCTTTTGCCTTCAAGTCTTCCTCGGAATCGAGATCTTCCCAGAGTATTCTTATCGCTTCCATGCACAGTCTGACGTATAATCGAGTCCACCACAATTAAGAATATCATCGGTGATAATAGGCAGGCAGCCTTGTCTGATTCCATATTATTGCATATATCTTGCAGATATTATCAATCATCAATTGAACTCTGTTTTGTGTGTGTCTGTATTCATATTGTATTTCATTTAATGCGGGCTGTTGTGCGTGTGTGTGCGTATGTGTCGATCTATAAACATAAATGTTCGTGTTATAGCTATCACTATCACTATTACTATTATTATTATTATTCGAATAGGTGCAGAAACCAACATAATTGGTTAATAAGTGTGTACACCCTTAGTGTGAAACAGTGTGAATGTACTCAAAAATGATAAATGAGACAAAAACAAATAAGCATGATAGTTTATCGAGTCTTTCTTATCTCTCACTCTTTCACACATACACACACACACTAGCTTGCTCTCTAACTGTGTGGCTGGCTGTCTATGACACTTTGGTTCACTTTGCTTCTATTGTAGACAAGCATGAACTCCTTGTATTATTCTATTTTATAGCACTAATATCAAGTCTTGTATTGTGATGCCTTGTAATTGTGTGTTGTGAGAGTGTGTATATGTGTGTATGCAAGAGAGGGCGTGAGTGCACGATTACGTGCTTGAGTACAATAGGTCAAGGTTACTACTATGTTCTATATATATCAATAAATTAGTGAAATAAAAAAGTTCAGATTTTACACGACGAATAATATATATCGATCGAATAAATAAAAAAAAGTTGTGTATCTAACCCAATAAATAAACAAATAATCAATAAATTTAATTTTTCTCTGTTTTCTGATAACTAAATTTTTTCATCTGAATCATAGATGACTGTCTAACTGACTGGTTTCAACATAGAGCTAATTTGCACAGATGTCCAGCAGTTCCAGCTGCCCTTGCTTCCCACCATATACCACACAAACCAACAGAAGAGAGTAAAGATAGATCGTGGTAGAAATATAGAAGAACAATAGAGCTCTGTTGGGTATTGTGAATCACAAAGATTCAGTTAATGCATCTGTACCAGCCACTGACAACGAAGATCTTTAGCCAGTTCACCAATTGAAAAGGAGAAGACGTTTAGCGAAGAGACTCTTTTCGGCTAATTCATTCACATAGCTGTACAGTCTCATTTATATATAATTATTTCTGTGTGTGTGTACATGAGGTTTGTCAAGTTTAGATAATTGACCAGGTAATACAAGAATGATCTAATGTAGAGACAAGATTAATTAGACGGGAACTAAAGTAAGATTGAGTTAGTACGTTAGATGACGTAACATAAATGACTAGAAATTGAGCGTTGTTCAAGTCAATAACAGTGGTAGAGGGGTGTAGAAATTAAATCGGATGAGGGTAGAGAACAAGAAATTTGAAAATGTAAAAATATTACAATTGAGAAGACAAAATAATACTAATGAAGAGACAGAGAAAAAAAAGATTAGGTAGAATTTACTTGTCGGCTAATAAGATAGATTACGTCCATTGCAAGTGTAGTGATTGAACGAACTTCTTCAATATGCAGAGTTCAGGACTTAGCAAGTGAATCGCCATTGCTTCTGCAGTTTGAAGAAGTCTGATTCGTGTACGATGTGACTCAATGGGGATTTTCAAGCTAATTCACCGATTGTCTCCAGTCATTGTCATTGGTTCTTATCATTCCGAGGACCCCAACCAGTCAGTCAAGAAGTCTGCGCCTCTACACATGGTGGCTGGGTCAAACTAACTCTTATGGATTTCATTGACCTATGGAGTCATGTTTTGGGTTGACAACCACGTGAAAGCTCTTTTCCAAACTGATCCATCCTGTGTCAGCTGGCATTGACTATTGTCAAGAAAGGCAATCGATGGCTAGACAGGCGTGTGTAACACGACACATATCCTAACCAACTCAAATGATGCAACTACTTCACAACCTCATCGATTGATTTCCCCTCCTTACCAAACACGTAACCAATACCTGACCTCAATGTTACTCAACCTATTGTACAACCAACTAACATGGGATGTAGACAGAACGCAGACAGATGTGATCAAAGACATCTGGCTAGTCGGCCTTTTTCATACCTTCCACTCTCAATGGCCATGTCTCACAGCCAGCCATAAAGGAGGATGTTGGAGTGACCTGCTGAGCAGTCTATTCTCCCTTTGGTCGACAGTCAGAGATGGCGTAAGTTGGCTGACAAACGCCAAACGAGCCTTCTGTGTGTGTGCGTGCTGAGATTTCGTGAGAAATCAGCCAGCCCCTGCTGGATTGTTCAACTTCTTCAATAAAGGAATCGGTCAACACGCACCAAGCTAGGAGTCGTTTCAGACAAGTCCTGTAGCATCATATTACATTTGATAAAAGCGAATCACATGCCAAACATTCGGAGATTGCTGCTCCTCAAAGTGTTCAAAAGACTCTGCATTTTACCAACGTCTTTACCACCTAGAAGGACTCGATCATCACCATATTCTAAGTCCACGAGATTATTCCCTGGTAACAAGTGAATCTTTAAGTCGCGTAAGTCATTTAGGGTTATAAATAAATCCTGAAGGCTTCGATCAACAGCGGCACACTTCGCTAGCTCCATATTGAAGGTTAAATACCTGGCCAGAAAAAATTAACAACTGGGAACTTTGGAAGAGAACCAACCAAGAACCGATTGACCATCAAATATGCAGGAGGAAATGGAGATGGGTTGGGCATACGTTAAGGAGACCTACGAATGACATCACGCACCAGGTCATCTTTGGAGTGGAGTTCAAATGGAAAACGACCAGTTGGTTGTCACTTCGAGGGTGAAACGGAGGAGATCGTGTGAGGAGGAGACGGCAGACTATGGGCAATCTTGGGGCCAGCTAAACAGGACAGCAGAAAATAGAACAAAGTGGAGACGTGTTGTTGAAGCCCTACGTTCCTTTAAGAAACCCAAGGGAACAATAATAATAAAGTGCTTGATGGGAGTACGGAGTAACTGAACAACCAATCTATAAGGTTCGGACACTTAGACAACTAAGGTATCACGTACGCAAACCGTACAAAAAACTTTGAAATGCGATTTATTCCGATTACTAAAAAATATTACTGTAACTGGTATTTGTATTATTGTTATTACTAGTCATAAGTGGAAATTTTAGTAAGTACGGACAAAAATATTTTTCTTCGATTTGAAAGTGACTTAACAACCACTTAAACAGTAATTTTCAAACTCTTGAGGTAAAAAAAACAATTAGAACAAGTGTGTGTTTGTATGTATGTGCTGGGGGATTCACATTTTCTGTTTTTATCATAATTATTAAAATATTCCTTTTTTCTCTGTATAAAAATCAATAATTTTTAGGCGTCCAATGGCATTTGTTTCAATGAATATTTTATCATTATTAAAAATAATAGCAATAATAATGGTGGGAAATTTAAATTTTGTAAGTGGCGGTCAAAATGAATCATTCATTACTTCATTTTAAAAAACAATAGAGAATTTCTGTTAAATTTCACTGATAAAATGAAGAATAATTTTATTTTTTTATCTTTCCTATTATTTTTATATTTTCGATAATTGGCCCTTATCATTACTATTATTATTATTGAAGTTTACTTATGTATGCTCTCTCTCTCCAACAGTCACTTTTACTTCTGTTATAGCCACGTTACCCGTAAAATAATGGCGCAGAAGATAATTACTCTGTTGCTTAGTTTTATCGTTTGTTTTTGACTCAAACTTGTAGTGAGTTTTAAAGTGACTGTATG